TGTGTGTGTGTGTGTGTGTGTGTTTGTGTGTGTGTGTGTGTGTGTGTTTGCATGGTTGGGTGGATGTGGGTGCGGGTGTGTTTCAATGTGGGGACTAGGGAAAGTTTTTGTACTATATTAATTTATAGGCCAATATTGTTCCTTTTTTTTAATCCCTTTCCTTAGAAATCACCTGCTAAATGCAGGAATTTAATAGTTCACTGTAACATTTGGAATAAAGAAAAACCTAAGTGCTGCTTCCATAGTGCTTAAACTAGGTGGCTGTTCTATAGAACTTTATCTGCAAGATTAGTCAATAAAATGCCAGCTCATTATTTCAACTCTGCCTAGAAAAGTTTGGCTCTGATGCTTCCAAATGAAAACCAAGGTTGAGAAAGCCCATCTCACCACTAAGAACAAATAAGCCATGCTCTAGAGCAAGCATCTTAGAAAACCAGAAGTATTGAAAACGTTAGCTGAGTGTACAGTGTGAAAGAAAACATGATGATTGAATTATAAGGTGAAGGATACATTAAAAATATTTTTTGAAGGCTACAGAGATTTTGTTAAAATTTTTCTTCCTAAATAAATGCTACCTACCAAGTACCCTATCTAACATCTGGAATTAGAAGCATGCCCCACAGACATGGTTGTTTGCTTTGTTTTTTAAACAGCTTGTTTATTCTGTATCCCAGCCATTGTAGAATTTGCTATATAGATCTGGCAGGCCTCCAGCTCACAGAGGTCTGCCAACCTCAGTCTTAAGTGATAGGGTTCAAGGCTTGTGTCACCATGTTTGGCAACTCCTGGCATTAGGTTCTCTAGAGAAAAGTCATGTCCTCTTGCTTACCAGGCAAACCTGTTACCAAGTGAGGCATCTCCTTAGACTCCCTTCTCCTTCTGTTCTTCCCCTGCCATTCCTTTCCTTTCCCTTCCATTCCCTTCCCTCCCCTTCCCTCCCATTTCTTCCTGTCCCCTCTCCTCTTCTCTCTTCCCTTCTCTTCCTTCCCTCCCCTACCCCTCTCCTTCCCACTCTCCTTTCCCCTGTCTTACCCTTCCTCTAATTCTGTACTTTATAAAACCAAACTGTAAAGAAAATAACACTCTCCTCCTGGTAACACCAGATGAGCTTGGATGCTCCTAGCTTGTGCTTCCTTCTGATCAAGGCTGTCTTTGGCATTTTAGCCCCTGGATCCTGATGCAGCTGCTTCTCCTTACAAGATGAAGAGAGAGAGAGAGAGAGAAGTGAAACAGCACAGGCAGCAAGAGAACCTTCAGCTGGGGAACATCTCACACCGCCACCGTGTGGCTCCTGGAGGAACGGCATCGAGCTGCTTCCCCCTAATCAGACTCTGGGCAGGAACCTAGACATAGTTACACATAATTGCATTGTGTTACTGGGCAGCTGGGAAACTGCTTATGTCTACTACTGTGTAATGATCTGAAATCCCTAGAATGTGCCCTTTATAGACAGAAATACTCACTATGTGGAGTAGAACTGGCTCTGGGAGCAAGTCTTCTGATACAGTTTTATCCATCCTCAAAGCTTCCCATAGTATAATCCCAGCACTAGAGAGCCTGAGGCAGGAAAGACAGTTTAGTCTGAGCTACATTGTGGGTTCACGGTCAGCCTGAGCTACTTGCATAGCTCTACCTACATAGAAAAACAGAATTTTTAAAAAGTGGTCCTGGGAAGAACAATACAAGAGCAGTGCTCAAACTAGCAAGTTCAAGGCAACCAAGTCCTTCATTCCTGTCTGTGCTTCCTTATAGCTCCAAATAAGGGGGCAGGGGCAGCTACTGGACACTTGTTAGTGTTTACCGAGGGGCAGCTTTCCCTGGGAGATGTGGCAGTCTTCTCAGGAATGAGGAAAACAGAAGTAATATATAGGAACAGACAGCACCATGCAGGAAAACAATCCTAAACTATGATACATTCCAAACCTGGAAGTGACTCAAGACACCTGACCTGGGCAGGGATATAAAGGCCCAGGCTCAGGAGACTGCACACCTGCACACTTCCTGTCCATCTTCTCCTCTGACCTACTCCATCCTCAAGCAAACACCAGAACCATGAGCTGCTGTGGCTGTTCAGGAGGCTGTGGCTCCAGCTGTGGGGGCTGTGGCTCCAGCTGTTGCAAACCTGTTTGCTGCTGTAAGCCTGTGTGCTGCTGTGTCCCTACGTGTTCTGGTTCCAGCTGTGGGGGCTGTGGCTCCAGCTGTGGGGGCTGTGGTTCCAGCTGCTGCCAGCCTGTGTGTTGCTGTAAGCCTGTGTGCTGCTGTGTCCCTACCTGTTCTTGTTCCAGCTGTGGAGGCTGTGGCTCCAGCTGTGGGGGCTGTGGCTCCAGCTGTGGGGGCTGTGGCTCCAGCTGTGGAGGCTGTGGCTCCAGCTGTTGCTGCAAGCCTGTGTGCTGCTGCAAGCCTGTGTGCTGCTGTGTGCCTGTCTGTTCCTGTTCCAGCTGTGGGGGCTGCAAGGGAGGCTGTGGCTCCTGTGGGGCCTGCAAGGGAGGCTGTGGTTCCTGTGGAGGCTGTGGCTCTTGTGGAGGCTGCAAGGGAGGCTGTGGCTCCTGTGGGGGCTGCAAGGGTTGTTGTAGCTCCTGTGGGGGCTCCAAGGGAAGCTGTGGTTCCTGTGGGGGCTGTGGCTCCTGTGGGGGCTGCAAGACTTGCTGCTGTCAGTCCAGCTGCTGCAAGCCCTGCTGCTGTCAATCCAGCTGCTGCAAGCCCTGCTGCTGTCAATCCAGCTGCTGCAAGCCCTGCTGCTGTCAATCCAGCTGCTGCAAACCCTGCTGCTGTCAATCCAGCTGTTGTAAACCCTGCTGCTCTCAGTCCAGCTGCTGCAAGCCCTGCTGCTCCTCAGGCTGTGGGTCTTCCTGCTGTCAGTCTAGCTGCTGTAAGCCCTGCTGCTGTCAGTCCAGCTGTTGTGCCCCTGTATGCTGCCAGTGTAAAATCTGAGACTCTGGCCACAGATCTCAGGGAACAGAGCTGATTCAGGTACCCTTTACAGTCTGTACATTGCTCTGTTCTGGGGCTCTATGGTTTTCACACTACAGCTCACCAAAGACGTCTCCAACATGGGGAAAAGTCTAGGATATCTCTTACCAACTGGACTCCACTGCTGGCTCCATGTTCACCTCTTCTGTGGTAGGTTTCGTTTACTGTTTCCTCCTCTTTGTAAGTCTAACCTGACAGCTGCCCCTTCACCTAGGTTGACTAGTTTTGATCTTTCTGGCTTCCTGTGGATCAGGTCCTGGATCTCTAAATAAACAGTGTTTGCATAACAAACTCATTCTTTTGCCTCCTTTTCTCCTTCTCTAATTTTTTGCACCAACCCCAGCACATTTAATTTGCCCCTTAGTACTGACTGGTTTTCTGTGTTGTTCCTCTCCTCTGTTGGGCTCTAAATGTGGGGCTCTACAGAGCCAATTAGAGCTCTGCCCACGCCCCACATTGAAAGGGGATGGGCAGCAGTGGAAGACAGATGCAGTGATTGTGTGGGGAAGGAACAGGTGGCTGTTGGGGCCACTTGTTGGAGGAGGGAATGTGTGGACAACCACCGCTCTCTGTCATATGGGTGTCTCAGAAGCCTGGTGTCTAGAGGAAGCCTTACATAGAGATATTGTGGTTGTTGAGTTTTGTCTCAAGGTACTCCAGGAAGACTGATTTAACAAGTCGCCTCTGCATGTTGAATAGGAGTGACAAGTCATTCTTGAGGGTTCATATAATGAAGCTCACAGCCTGGTCCTTCATGTGGGACCTTGCTCAGAAACTAGACTTTCATAAGAGACAATCCTGTCGAATACTGAGAAGGAGCTGTCACCCAGAGGGGACACAAGGGCACAGATGGGCATACAAGGCAGGTGCCGTGTGATGGCGACCACTTCAATAAGGCAAGAAACAAGGAACACTTTGTATATTGGGAGGAGATTGATGCTACAACTCATAAATATGTTTTCATGTATGAGATTCAAACCATTTACTAGAACCAGTAAGCCAGTGTGATGGTTTGTATATGCTCGGCTCAGAGAGTGGCACTATTAGAGGTGTGGCCTTGTTGGAGTAGGTGTGGCCTTGTTGGAGTAGGTGTGGCCTTGTTGGAGTAGGTGTGGTCTTTAAGATCCTCATCCTAGCTGCCTGGAAGTGAGTCTTCCACTAGCAGCCTTCAGATGAACCTTCAGATGAAGATGTAGACCTCTCAGCTCTGCCTGCACCATGCCTGCCTGGATGCTGCCATGCTCCCACCTTGATAATAATGAACTGAACCTCTGAACCTGGAAGCCAGCCCCAATTAAATGTTGTCCTTTGTAAGAGTTGCCTTGGTCATGGTGTCTGATCGCAGCAGTAAAACCCCAACTAAGACAGCCAGTGTAACAGGATGGCTAGAAGCAAGACCTACAGGCAAACGGATGGGGGTTTTTTGGCAGGGGGTATAGAGCGTAGCTCAGTGGTAGAGCACTCGCCTAGCATGTCAAGGTTGTAGCTTTTGTCTCTAGCACTGCAAACAAATAAAAAAATTAATTGTGCTTAAATAAATAATTAAATAAAAGATTAAATTTAAAATAATATAATTATGATTGTGTGACACCTACTTTAAAAATGTGAGCGTGAATATGAACGAGGATGATGGAGAATGGAGAAGGAAAAGGGGAGGGGACTAAGAAAGAATGACGGAGGGGATATGGCATATTATATGCATACATAGTGAACACTTTACTCTGTAAAGGCAGTAACACATCAGTGAAAAGTGACCCAGGCCTGAAACCACGTAAAGAGTGGCTGAAAACCAAGTGTGTGTGTGTGTGTGTGTGTGTGTGTGCATGCACACGTGTTTGTGTGCATGTGTGTGTGTGTGTG